ACAGCTGTTGATTATAAAAATGTCCACATGTAAAGAATCGAACACGAGCATTTAAAGTGTGACGACATAACGATACACCAAGAGAGCTACCCTACGCCATATATGCATGTTGTTCATGTCGTGTCGTGCAGTGTTATATAGGAACAAGATGTCACAAACATTGTGGTTTGTAACAATGTTACTTTTTGTATTTTGAATGTTATGTGTTACTGCGACCTCCTGATAGCACACCTGCTATTGTTTGCTTGCTTTACCATATTGCCACATTTCCTCCTGCTATCCCAAGGCTAACCTTTGATCCTAATGTAATGTATTTACAGACCATGATTTCAATAATTTAACATGTATTCTCACTAAAAATGCTTGAAACCCTTTATTGTTTGAATACCGTGGAGACCATGTTTTTCAATAAAAAGGTATAATTATGTTGTGACTAAACTACACTCAACCTTGATCCTGCCTGTAGTTTATATACCGCCAAGAAGACACATCTATGAAAATCTGACATTGACTTTTAAAAGTAATATCAATATTTCAGTACTTTTAAATGATTTCAGTAAATATGTATAATTTTGTTTCTTAAATTTCAGGAATTTTCAGTAATTATACATATTTACTGATTATACATATTTCCTGTAACATACATAGATAACACTGAACAAGAAGCGTGACGTATCGATTTATTCACTGTACTTTGTATAGCCTTTATTAATGTAACATCTCGGTCATTTTCAGTTTTCGCCAATAAGTGATAATATATATATATATGTGATCGCAAATTCCTCTGAGTTGAGAGCTGAGATTACCAGGCTCTTCCTGACGCATCAGAAGGATGTGCTGGATATGTCAGCTTGGTTTTCATACAATGGCGAGGGTCCTGAGAAGCAGATAGATATTTGAGAATGAGTTTAGTTTTACGCCTCATTTAGCAACGTTTGAGCAATATAACGGGTGGGGTGGGGTGGACATTAAATGAGCTTCACACATTGTACCCATTGTGGGGAATCGTACCCGGGTCTTCAGCGTGACGAACATGGGCTTTAACCATAGCTACTTAACCGCACCAGATATTTTTCCGTGCGTGTAATAATGATAGCGACGTTAAGAGAGCGTGTTGTACATTATCTGAATTAAATGAATCTGGTATGGGTAAGAATTATTATACCGTCAACTGAGCCATGTGGTGTTGGGATGTTTTGGTAAGCATCACTTCGGACTGGATCTGTTGTCCTCAGATGCTCATATTCCTTTGGTTCATCTGAAATTAGTGCAAACGGATCTCGGAAACACATCAAACAACATGTAGTCGCAGAAACTATTCCGTGAGTCTCAATGGCAAATGTGTTATTCCTAGACATGTCCTATGGAATCAGATATTTCATGTAAATTTAATTTCCCTTTTTCATTTACCTCTGAACCTGGTGCTGGCCTGAAGGTCTTCATACTCGCTCCTTCTGCTGTCACCGATGTCAGAGTATGTGTGATGGATGTCTGAAACAACATAGCCATGACAAAATTTGAACAATGTACATGACTTTCTCTGTCTTGCTCATGTCTGAGACATAACACAAGTTTAAAACCGTAAGTATTGAGGTCATTGCTATAATTTTATCATTTTGCTTAGTATCAATGCAAACAATATGATTTAATCTATTTCTGTATATGCATCGCATACCTTGGTCAGCTATTGACGTTTGGTGTTTAGCGTCTGAAACTTCAAAATGCAAATAGAAAATTACCATCAGCTTATTAACTTCAAACGTAAAATAAGAAATCATTTTGGGAATGGAAATATCTTTGTACTTTCTACAGCATTTCCTAAATTCTTGCAATGATGCATAAGAACACTACTGATGTGATGGCAAGACTTATGATCATTGGCAGTGCTACTCCAAGGCCAACACCGACACCAATGCCCAATCTATCGGACACTTGTGTTAAGCAAGAACATGCTGAAAAATATCAGATTTGACTTTTAGTGATGTGGATAAACTCTTTGGATCATTTAGGTGTATATTTGTTCATAGTGTTAATTATTTCAGTGTAACATATAATATATTATGAACCATACATTGTAATCTGTGCATGTTTGACAAATACACGTCAGTAATCAGGTCTTACTTTCTTGGCCTGCTGTCGTAGCGTCCCTGACTACTTTGCTGCTTGTTCCACGTATATTCCGTGCAGATATTTGGAACATGTACTCTGTGTTTGGTTTCAAACTATTGATGTGGGAGATTAGCCATTTTCCTTGTCCCGGATCCGGAATCCCTTGTTTCCAGACCCTCCAGTCGCTGCCAGATGCACGGTACTCAACACTGAACGTCTGTGGGGAGCCACCATCAAAGTTAGCCTGCCACTGAAGCCACACTGATGTTGATGTGATGTTGTGTATCACCGTCTCATCTGGAGCCAGTGGCGCACCTGCAGTTAAGTATCAATCCTCATTCACATTGGGAAGCCTCTAATTCCCAAGACTTGACATCTCTATTAACTGAATTTACTATTGTGTATGATGAACAAATGGAAACACAAATTGACATTTATGTTTCATTTAGCATAGTTGGGTTTTGTTCTGAAACGGGGCGGCTAGGTAGCCTATAGCTAGTGGTTTGCCCGAAGGCCCGGGTCCGATTCCCCACATGGGTACAATGTGTGAGGCCCATTTATTGTGTATCCCGCCGTGAAATTGCTGGAATATTGATAAAAGCTGCGTAAAACCATACTCTCGATCTCACACTCACTCTATCAATATGTGCACATCACCTGCAGGCGCTATGGTGTAAACTAGCTGTGTTCGCCCCACGTCGTTTGTAGCTTCAACAGAATACTTTCCATATTCTGACACCTGTCTGACCATCACTTGCAGCACTGACTGTTGCCCAGATGTGATGACCGTGTGGGATGTTGAGTTGGGTATCGGAATACGCTGATTATCTAGGTAGGCCAGCCACTTGAACACAGGCGGAGGGTTACATACAATAGCAGCTTTCAATGACGCCACTTCATTCAGGCCTCTGTACAATCGGCTGATGAAGGGGACCCGAGTGTCAAGCCTGGGAGCACCTAATACGTATTGAAGTGAGACGAAGATATGAACAGGGTCATTCTATCATTTCTTAACAATATGTTATAATGAAACGATAGCCAGCTTTCAAATATAGTAAAATGGAATCAATGAAAATATTGAATAAGGATCAAAATCATGGTTCGGTAATACTAAAAAACAGGAAACAATCTGCCATGTATACTGGAATTGTAATGAAACTAATACATTTTGGAATGAGCTTGAGATTTGGATCAATAAATCCCTCAACATGGAAATCAAAATAACAAAATTTTAGGATTGTTTTGGTGCTTCACAAGTCAACAAAATAATACTAAACCATATAAATGTTTATATCAAAAAAATTCTGAAAACCTTAGAATTCATCTTTCCTGAAGAAAACAATTTCTAAAAGAAACACTGACATGGACAATTTTGAGAAAAAATGGTTTCCTTTCATCCCATGTCTCAATATATGTTCAACCACCCTATAGAAGCTTGTTACATGTATCAGCTTATTTTACTTGTATGTTGCTTTTGTTTCTGGGGCGGAGACCCGGGTTCTATTCCCCACACGGTGTGTGGAACCCATTTCCGGTGTCCCCACCTTGATATTGCTGGAATATTGCTAAAGCGGCGTTAAACCATACTCACTCACTCACTCAATTACTCAATTATTTCTCTTACTATAATATCCTTGTAAGTATGTACTTAATAATTATCGCCAAAATATTGACTTACAGAGGACATCGACGTCATATGAAGCACGTGTTGTTGTTCGTGTGTGTCTGTTGTAAGCCGAGCAGACAAAGGTTCCGTTGTGGAGACACTCAACTCGTTGTATTGTGTAGGAGATGGTGTTGGTGTCTCCTTCTGCCAACGTGGTGTCGTTGTCAATGTTCCGCACGGTCAACTCTGCAGCTGGGTGGCTCACAACGTTGCAGTTTAGGGTCAGTGAGTCATTCTCAGTAACTTCTGACTTCTCAAACACGAGGACAGGGGTGTCTAAATCTGGAATAGTTGACATGAAACTTATATAGATATAGGTGACAGGTCTCATGTTTCGGTAATATGACGTTATGTTATTTTTCAGAACATTATCAATCACAGAAGGCAGAGGCATGTAGAATGTAGAATATACCCGATCGACTTTACTTGAGGCACATGATTTGTAAGTTTGTTCATTATTTAACGTCGCACTCAGCAATATTCCAGCTGTATGGTGGTGGTCTGTAAATAATCGCGTCTGGGCCACACAATCAACAACATTAGCATCGATCTACGCAAATGGCATACGATGACATGGTTCAGTGAACCTGACAACCCGATCCTGTTATTCGCTTCTTACGACAAGCAGGGGCTGCTGAAGACCAATTTTAACCCGGATCTTCGCGGGTCTTGGGGTACACGACGTGTCTGACTTACACTGAACATCCACAGACACCCGTGCTGTTGCTGTCCCCTGTTGTTCAGATCCTCCACTTGGTGACAGGGTGTTGCTGGCAGTACAGATGTAGATCCCTCCCTGACGCCTGCTGATGTTGCTTCTATCCAGCACAGCTCCAGTACTGACAGTAGACCCACCATAGGTCCACCTATAGCTTGTGTTTGACGGGTTGCCTGGTGTGGTGAAGCTGCTACAGTTTATCCTGAGACGAGATGATTCATTCACTTTGTAGACGCCCTGGAGTCCAGATATGGATGGCGCATCTGTCAACGGGTTTGATTAGAAATAAAAATGTCTTCTGAATGACAGCAACATATAAAATATAAAATTATAACATCGTCTTTTTCTTCTTTGAGAGAAGCTATACTCACAAAGTACATCCACACTGATCGAGGCTGAGTTTGAACCCTGGGTGTTGTTGACAGTACATGTATACTGCCCTCCCAGCCTCCTGCTGATGCTGCTTATATCAATCACAGACCCGGTACTGACAGTAGACCCACCATAGGTCCACCTGTAGGTTATTGCTGACGGATTGCCTGGAGTGGTGTAGGTGCTACAGTTTATCCAGAGACGGGTTAACTAGATGAGTTGGAAGGTGAACGGGAGACCAGATATTGATGGTGCATCTGGTTTAGTGTCAAAATTAGAACAAGTTACATTTGAATTTTAATCTATACCGCAACAGTATGAAAGACACTGCAAATTACAACTATGTTAAAGAACTACTGTTATGATTATTTTGTCATCAAACGTATGTTGTGATGCAATCGATATCACAGAAATTAGTACACATCTGTGCCTAAATGTACATTATTATGTAAATTTAAAGATACCCACTGGCTACGTTACATTTCCTGTGTACACTCACACAAAATGGTAGCATTGACGTCAGCATAACTACTTCCGGATACTCCATCCACTTCACACATGTATGTCCCAGCATGGCCGGAGGTCACGTGACTGGCAGGCAGCTGGATGTCGAGAGAGGAGGTGTAGTCACCTACAAACACGCCCTTGTTCTGCCAGGAGTCCAGGAACACAGTTGTTTGAGGAGACACTGATCCAGTGACTACCCTCACTGGAAAGCTGCCCTCTCTTTTCCTCCATGTGAACACAGTAACAACATCCCCAGGTGTCAAAGTGTAGCTGCATCTGAGAGTCAGAGCCTGCTGGTTGGGTATCCCTGTACCTCCTGACCCTGAGACAGTCACTGCTCCCTCAATCCCTGTGACAAAACTCTATGTCATAAGTACGAAAGCCCAATTGTGCCACTTTGATAGAATAAACATTTGTCACAGACATTTGTCACCTACCTGTGATTATTGCAATGAATATATGCAGCTTAACGATTACTTCAGGTGTCATCTTCACTGACCGCCAAGTCCGACTTTAACACTTCCCCTCCGACTGCTAAGGCTCAGGTCAACGCAGAAGTAGAGATTGCAATGTGAAAACAACCTGAAGTGTTCACAGGAAATAAAAGAACAGAAATAAACTTCCTGGTTGGCGTCTATAAATAGCGAGTCAAAGTCTGTAGCAGATCCCGTCTTAGCTCTGTCTTTGCCTGAAAACGAGATTGGTATACGTGAGAAAGTGTTTGATAAGATCAATCTAGCTGATTTGAAGAAAGAAGATGGTTTGGATACCTTGTTGACGTTTTTGGATAACAATTTGGGGAAAGATGACCTGGCAGATAGTTTGGATAAATTTGAAGATTTTGAGGACTATGAACGTGAATCTAGACAGTCAATTAATGAATTTATTTTAAAATTTGATCAAAGATACAACAAGATTTTGAGAAAGGGAATGAGTCTTCCACAAGAGATTCTTGCTTTCAAGTTACTCAAACGTGCAAAGATAAACAAAGAAGAGAAAATGTTGGTTATGACAGGCATGGACTATACTAAAAAGGAAGATTTGTATGATCAAGCTAAGGTTTCACTGAAGAAATTCCTCGGTCAGCAGGCAGGTGGTGGTTCAAGCTCAGCAGCATTTGCGAATATTAAGGTGGAACCAGCCTTCGTGGCTCAAGAAGAAGAAACATATTTTAGTGAGTCTGGCAGATCTCGTGGCAGATATTTCAGACCAAGAGGATTTGGTAATGGCAGAGGAAGAGGAAGTACTTGGAGAGGTCGACGACAGTCAGATCGAGCTATGAACCCTGTTGGTGCAAATGGTAAAACTTTAACTTGTCTTGCACGTGGTTCATTCCGACATCTAATTGCACATTGTCCTCACAGCTATGAAAACATGTCATCAAGAGTCAACTATACTGAAGGTGAACCAGTACAGACAGAAAAACAAGTGGTGCTGTTCACTGGAAGTATCAAGGAAGGTTTGGCTCAGTTAGGCAATGATGCTAGATCATGTGCAGTTTTGGACAGTGCATTTTCGAGTACAGTGTGTGGCAGAACATGGCTTAATGGATACATAGAGTCTCTGGATCAAGTTGACAAAGAAAAAGTGACAGTTTGCGATGGTGTAAAAGTGTTCAAGTTTGGAGGTGGTGAGATGCTGAAGTCACTGGGATATTATGAAATACCTGCCGGAAAAGCCTTCAGTATTAGAACAGATGTTGTGGATTCTGATATACCATTACTACTATCAATACATGCTATGAAGGAGGCACGAATCAAGTTGGATCTTGGGAATGATACAGCAGAAATTCTTGGACAGAAAGTGAATTTGAACTATACATCATCGGGTCACTACTGCATTCCAATTGACAAGAATGAGCAAATACCAATTGAAGAAGTCCATGCTGTGCTGCTTCACAAACTCGACAAAGACGAACGGTACAAGACTCTCTTGAAGTTACACAGACAGTTTGCTCATCCTCCAGAGAGAAAGCTTGTGGCCCTTCTTAAGGATTTTGGGGTCTGGAGAGAAGAGTTCCGGGACACTGTCCATGCAATTTATGAGCGGTGTCAGTTATGTAAGATTTAATAATAATAATAATAATAATAAGTCCATTTGTATAGCGCCCTATATCCAATCACCAAGTGGTTGCTCATGGCGCTAACTATATACATATTTACAATAGGAGTTCATTTAGAAGTCATAGTGCTTCTTGAACAGGAAAGTTTTTAGGTTAGACTGGAAGCTGGCTATTGAGGGGGACTCTTTGAGAGACACGTGCAGATTGTTCCAGAGGATAGCTGACAAGTAGGAAAAACGTCGGTGTCCATATGTCTTCAGACGTGCATTTGGGATGATGAGCAGCGACTGATTGGCTGATCTCAGAGTCCTGGTTGGAACATACTCCCTTACAAGACTAGAGAGATAGGATGGAGCTGCGTTGTTAAGACATCTGTAAGTCATGCTAAGTATTTTGTATTCTATCCTAGCTGGGAGTGGTAACCAGTGCAGACGCATGAGGATTGGGGAGATTTACACAAGAACACCAGCCAGACCTGCTGTTGCACTACCAATGGCATCGCAATTCAACGAGACAGTTGCTATGGACTTAAAGAAGTGGAGAAATGGATGGATTTTGCATTTAGTGGACATGTGGTCTAGATTAAGTGTGTCTGCCTTCATTACTCGGAAAACACCAAGTGAAGTGATTGACAAGATTATGACGCACTGCAGCTGGGTAGGAGCTGGATTAGGAGTGATGCAGAGTATCCTGACAGACAATGGAGGGGAGTTCAATGCCGAGGAGATAAGAGAGGTGGCTAGTATACTGAACATCCGAGTTCACACAACTGCTGCGGAAAGCCCATTTCAGAACGGACTATGTGAGAGAATCCACTCAGTGACTGATATGATGCTTGCTAGAATGGAGGAACAGTGCCCAGAAACACCTCTTGATATACTCCTGTGTTGGGCGAATATGGCTCGCAATGCTTTGCAAATGTGGCATGGTTTCAGTAGCTACCAGTTAGTGTTTGGGAAGAATCCAAACTTGCCAAACATCATGAGTGAAACGGTCCCAGCACTTGATGGTGTGACAAGAAGTGAGTCATTTGCTGAACATCTAAACGCTTTGCATGCAGCGAGGAAAGCATTTATCGCCTCAGAAGCAAATGAAAGGATCCGAAGAGCTTTGCGTTGCAAAATTAGAGCCTCGGAGGAAATATACCATCATGGTGATTTGGTGTATTACAAACGTGATGGCAGTGAAAAGTGGTCCAGGCAAGGTTGTGTTCCAAGATGGAAAAGTTGTGTTTGTTCGACACGGCGGGGTGTTTGTTAGAGTGTCACCAAATAGACTGATAAAATCAGGACTGGAATTTAAGTGTGATGGGAACACTGAAGAGAGAGAGAACCAGCTGCTAGCGCAACAGTTTAAGAGGTCATGGATTTGAGTGGGTGAGTGAGTGAGTTAATATTTAACGTCACATCGGCAATATTTCAGCCATATCGTGACGAGAACATGCGATATTAGAATGAAATATATGTATATTATAAAAAACCTGCCGACGAAGGACAGTAAAAATACTAGATAATCACAGCTATCAATATAAAACTAGCGAACAAAGCTAAAACATTCCAATTAAAGAAGACAATACAATGTAAAAATGGGCTATAAATCGCCAACAACTGAAGGTAGATCACCATACTAGAGACCATGGGGACTTACAGTGCCTTTGCTACCTGCATGGACCCTAGTTGGATTTACACCATCCCTTCAGCCATTGGCGACAGAAGAGAAATCTAGCCATAAATTAAAAACACACTTATTCTACGATTAAAAAGCAGGTACACTTAAATTGACTTTGAAAGTTTTGGGACTTCATGGATTTGAAGTGGACAGACTTGACATGCAGATTTCAGAAAGGATTGCAGGACACATGTCGAATTAAAACTCTCAAAATGATGAGACTAAGGTACAGGCAGCGGATAACATGACGGATGAAACAACAAACATGGATGAAGCCAAGGGAAGTAAAATCAGTTTGAAGAAGGATGACAAGATACAGTTCAAAGACACATCAGAAGATGATTGGGTGGTTGCTACAGTTGTGAGTAGAGGAGGCAAAGTGTCTGGGCGAAATAAGAATGTGTTCAACATATGTGCAGGTGATGGAGAAACTGTGACAAGTGTGAACCTTGACAAAGTGCATGACTGGATGAAAGTGATAGTCCATGATGTTAACGTGGTGACTATTCCAAGATCAAGATATTGATTGTGTGAAAGCGAAATGTGAAGAGCTTGGACGTTTACGAGAGTTTGATACATATGAAGAAGTTCAAAATTGTGGACAGCCTTGTATTTCCACTCGATGGGTAATATGTCAGAAGGGTGATAAAGTTAAAGCAAGGCTAGTGGCTAGGAGATTTGAGGAAGATGGTGTCTTTGATAGAGACTCGCCAACTGTCAGTAAGAGTGCATTACGAATTTTTTTAACTCTTGCAGTATGGCAAAACTGGGACATCAAAACCACGCTCTGCTAACCTGTGATTGACAATATATATGTTTAGGGTGTTTGCAGTACATTTCGTCATTGAAGTGTACGGGATAATGTATGAGGATATCAATGGGTTTCTGTTATAAAAGGCACTGAAATGTCCCCAATTGAAAGAACAGTAGACGGTTTGTACGCAAAGGTAATATTCTTGTCCACAAAAAGCACGGACATATATTATGGGGCAATGGAGAAGATATGTTACTGTGGTATTCTGTTACTGACGTTATTAACTGCTATATACAGATCAGTGTACAGACACCGTTTATGCTAGGGTTACACTATGTTCCCGGCGGCCACGGCAGCCCGTTTCGCCGAAACGTCGTGAAACGGGGACAAAACGGGATGGACGTGAGACAACGTAGGGGGACTGAATGAGCAAACGTGACAGTCCGTGAGTGCTGTGGATGCCGTGCCAGATTCGTAAACTGTTCAAAAATTTGCCATGGCAGTCACGGTGTCAATGAGAAACTTAGTAGGCTGTAGTAAAACGGAGGGAACGCAACAAAACATAACAGCACGTACTAGGCCGTAACAAAACTTGTAGACGTTCAGTGGTGGGTCCGTTGTGGGACGGGAGGCATGTGTATTCCCCGGTGTCTCACGGTCCTTTCAAGTTTTGTCACGTTCGGCCATGTTTTTGGGGGGCCGTTCTGTCACGATTGTTTTACCCTTGCTGCCCGTTTTGTCCCGGTTCTCACGACAAGCTAGGTTATATGGTAACTAATTCGTCCCGTTCTATCACGACGATTTACACTGCCGGCGAGATACGGCACGTTGCGTCCTCTGGCATTCCCTATCTGCAGCTGATGCTGACCTTCTTGCTGATGCAAGGACTCGATGTATGCCCCTGCAAACATACAAACGCAAAATCGTTTTCATCTTGGGGGCTCATGCTGCTCTTATCCCTCAGGATACAATGGCTGCTACAGTACAACCAGAAATTATTGAGAATTTAAAGATTGTAATTTTTTAATTTTTTCCACTCATTACTCACGTATTAAATGTGAATATTAGCAGAACATAACTCCAGATTCATTTATAAAAAGACAGGTGAACAGTTAGTATTTTGTCAAGTCACCATGAGCAGCAATGCAGGTTTCAATGCGGCGGGGCATACTACTGATCAAAGAAGTTAGAAAGTCGTGGTCCATGCTGTCCCAATATCGGACCACCTCTTCTTTCATTTCAGCAATATTTGTCAGATTGTTCTTATTGACACTTTCCTTCATAAGTCCCCATTTCTATTGGATTTAGGTCAGGGCTATAGCTTGGCCAATCTAATAATGTCATAGTTTGGGTCCGAAACCAAGCCGGTGAATGCTTTGAACGATGTTTTGGGTCGTTGTCCTGCTAGAAAATCCAAAAATGTCCATAGAGCACGTGAGCAGATGGAAGTAAATGTCCCTCAAGAATATCTGTGTACCGCTAACTGTTCATATTCCCTTCAAATACACAGAGGGGCGTTGCCCCTAACACAGATATGCCACCCCACACGTTAAATTTCGGACTGTCCTTTGGGCACTGATACAAAGGTTTTTCAGTTTGTTTGGTCCAGAATTTCAGTGTATTAGGAAACAGCCACACAGAACTTTCATCTGAGAAAATCACATTGTCCCAGTTAAATTTCTATGCTGTAAGCACCAGTTCAACCTTCGCTCCTTTAGTTCAGGTTTCATGATCTGTGATGGAATTCCTCGACTTTTCTGCCAACCCACTGCATGCAGCTCAGTTCTAATTGTCTCCTTACAGACAGCCACAGTTCCTCTATCAATCATATCCAGTCTTAAGTTTTCTAAACTCCTTTGTTTGTTTTTAGAAACAAGAATACCAAGCCACCTCCTGTCACTGACAGTCAATTTTCTAGGCCTCCCTGCGCCTCCCTGGTGCTCAATGCCATATCCATTTGCAATATTTTTCAAAACACGATAAACAGTGGACAAAGGGATGCCTGTTGTACTTGAAATCACTTTAGCTGATCTGATGTCCTTGTTATAATACTCTAAAATTCAACTTCCTCCTCTCTAAATCATCCATACTGAGGATCACTGAAAATCTCGTGTGCTAGCAAGTTAACAAAGGGGGATAACTCTTCACAAACTAATGAAAAAGGATTAACGGAGTTGTCTCTCTTGAATGAAACCAAGCACTTGATAGCTGGTCAAGGTTGTTTATACTAGAAATCCAATTAAACATATTCCTAAAATTCTCAATAATTTCTGGTCATACTATATTTCTGTGGAGGTCTTAATTTCATACCGTGGGCACAAATGTGCTCCAAAGCTGGTCGGCGTCCACGTTTCATCCGTAGAAGGTCTTGAGAGAACGCGCAAAACGTGTCAAACCCAAGATCAAAACGTGAGAAATGTGAGGGAACCCATCAGAACGCGACAGGCCGGGAGGAAACGTAATGGCATCCGTAATGGACTGTGGGCCGAGCAGCAGTGCGTCTTTGAGCTTCCGAGACTCAGCAGCCCGTTTATCCCAACGGCCCATCACTGATACAGTGAGAAAACTTAGCAGGACCTAACAAAACTTGGCTTTGGAGAGATAAAGTGGCCAAAATCTCACAGCGCACCTCGAAAGCTACCCTCTCACCACTACGCATGCTGTTCATGCCGTGCACAGTGTTATACAGGAACAAGCACATCACTAACCATGTGATTTGCACAATGTTACTTTTTGTACTTTTGAATGTATTACTGCGAACTCTGATAGCACAACTGGGGTTGTTTGTTTGCTTTGCCATATTTCCTCCTGTTATCTAGCGTGGATTTTTCTACTGTTACAAAGGAAATACGTACATATTTCAATTGTTTGTTCATGATATATATAGATAACACTAAACAAGAGGCGTGACGTATCGATTTATTCACTGTACTTTGTGTAGCCTTTATTAATGTAACATTTCGGTCATTTGCATACACATTCCACTTACTTCGCCAACAACTGATAACGTTTATGAATCATCGCTACTTCTTCTGTGTACATCGGTTTTTGTTAAGCGGAGAGGACCAGGCTCTTCCTGCTGCATCAGAAGGATGTGCTGGATGTGTCAGCTTGGTTTTCATACAATGGCGAGGGTCCTGAGAAGCAGATAGATATTTCAGAATGAGTTTAGTTTTACGCCGCTTTTAGCAACATTCTAGCAATATCACGGCGGGACACAAGAAATGGGCTTCACACATTGTACCCATGTGGGGAATCGAACCCGTGTCATCGGCGTGACGAGCATACGCTTTAACCACAAGGCTACCCCGCCGTTTCAGATATTTTAGAATTTTTCAGTGCGTGTTATAATGATGGCAACGTTCATCGAGCTAGCGGGTTGTACACTATCTGGAATAAATTCGTAAATTAATCTGGTATGGGTAAGAGGTATTATACCATCAGTTGAGCCATGTGGTGTTGGGATGTTTTGGTAAGCATCACTTCGGACTGGATCTGTTGTCCTCAGATGCTCATATTCCTTAGGTCCTTCTGAAATTAGTGCGAACGGTTCTCGGTAACAAATCAAACAACTTGTAATCGCAGAAACTATTCCGTAAGACTCAGTGGCAAATGTGTTATTCCTAGACATGTCCTATGGAATCATAGATATTTCATGTAAATTTAATTTCCCTTTTTCATTTACCTCTGAACCTGGTGCTGGCCTGAAGGTCTTCGTACTCGCTCCTTCTGCTGTCACCGATGTCTGAGTATGTGTGATGGATGTCTGAAACAACATAAACATGACCTAATTTAAACAAAGTATATGACAGTTTTGCTCATGTCTGGGACATAACACAAGTTTAAAACCGTAAATATTGAGGTCATTGCTATAATCTTATCACTTTGCTTGGGATCAATGTAAACAATCGGATTTAATCCAGATCTGTTTCTATATGCATCGCATACCTTGGTCAGCATTTATTGACCTGCAATAGAAAAAAAGAAACATATGATTATCAATACGTCGAAAAAGCACAGTATGTCTTTTATACAACCATTCAATTCTGACATGTTAGCCTCTAATTATTCACCGACACTCAGTCATAAGATGTTGAATTAAAATGTCAAGGTATGGTAATTGATATATTTTCTGACTTTTAGATTACTTACGTTTGGCGTTTACCGGAAACAGCGTCTGAACCTTCAAAATGCAAATAGAAAATTACAATACGCTTGTTATCTTAAAACGTGAAACAATTTATCATTTATGAATGGAAATATCTCTGTACTTTCTACAGCATTTCTTAAATTCCTGCAATGATTCATTCACATATTTACATGGTTCATATATGTGCTAATGACTAACTGGGATATGTTTTAATACTAAGTAAGAACCTTTGAGTACAGGACCTACCTCGGGGCTTGACAGAACGTTGACGGTAGAACACTACTGATGTGATGGCAAGACTTATGATCATTGGCAGTGCTACTCCAAGGCCAACACCGACACCAATGCCCAATCTATCGGACACTTGTGTTATGCAAGAACATGCTGAAAAAATATGAGATTTGACTTTATATGATGTGGATAAATTCTTTCGATCAGTTAGGAGTATAGGTGATCATAGTGTTAATTATTTCAATGAAACATACATTGTAATGTTTGCCTATTTGACAAATATATGTCAGTAATCAGGTCTTACTTTCTTGGCCTGCTGTCGTAGCGTCTCTGACAACGTTGCTGCTTGTTCCGCGTATATTCCGTGCAGATATTTGGAACATGTACTCTGTGTTTGGTTTCAAACTATTGATGTGGGAGATTAGCCATTTTCCTTGTCCCGGATCCGGAATCCCTTGTTTCCAGACCCTCCAGTCGCTGCCAGATGCACGGTACTCAACACTGAACGTCTGTGGGGAGCCACCATCAAAGTTAGCCTGCCACTGAAGCCACACTGATGTTGATGTGATGTTGTGTATCACCGTCTCATCTGGAGCCAGTGGCGCACCTGCAGTTGAGTATCAATCCTCATTCGCATTGGGGAGCCCCTTATTCCCAAGACTTGACATCTCTATTAACTGAATTTACTATTGTGTATGTATGAACAAATGGAAACACAAAGTTACATTTATGTTTCATTTAGCATAGTTGGGTTTGTTCTGAAACGGGGCGGCTGGGTAGCCTATAGCTAGTGGTTAAAGCGTTTGCCCGAAGGCCCGGGTCCGATTCCCCACATGGGTACAATGTGTGAAGCCCATTTATGGTGTCCCCCGGCGTAATATTGCTGGAATACTGGTAAAAGCTGCGTAAAACCATACTCTCGATCTCACACTCACTCTATCAATATGTGCACATCACCTGCAGGCGCTATGGTGTAAACTAGCTGTGTTCGCCCCACGTCGTTTGTAGCTTCAACAGAATACTTTCCATATTCTGACACCTGTCTGACCATGACTTGCAGCACTGACTGTTGCCCAGATGTGATGACCGTGTGGGATGTTGAGTTGGGTATCGGAACAAGCTGATTATCTAGGTAGGCCAGCCACTTGAACACAGGCGGAGGGTTACATACAATAGCAGCTTTTAATGACGCCACTTCATTCAGGCCTCTGTACAATCGGCTGATGAAGGGGACCCGAGTGTCAAGCCTGGGAGCACCTGATACGTAATGAAGTGAGGCGAAGAGATGAACAGTGTCATTCAATCATTTCTTAACAATTTGTTTAGATTTGGATCAATAAATACCTCAACAAAGAAATCAAAATGATATTTAATATGGCGTTAAACCCTGCTCATTCACTCACTCACTCTCTCACTCACTTCTGTTAGTATGATATCTTTGTAAGTATGTAATTTCTAGTTTTCACCAAAATACTGACTTACAGAGAACATCGAGGTCATATGAAGCACGTGTTGTTGTTCGCGTGTGTCTGTTGTAAGCCGAGCAGACAAAGGTTCCGTTGTGGAGACACTGAACTCGTTGTATTGTGTAGGAGATGGTGTTGGTGTTTCCTTCTGCCAATGTGGTGTCGTTGTCAATGTTCAACACTGTCAACTCTGCCGCTGGGTGGCTCATAACGTTGCAGTTTAGGGTCAGTGAGTCATTCTCAGTAGCTTCTGACTTCTCAAACACGAGGACAGGGGTATCTAAATCTGGAATAGTTGACATGAAACTTATATACATGTATATACAAAGGACTTAGTTAAGCACCGCCTGACATATCTCACGATTGAATGAGCTCCGATCTGAACCCTTTGGAGCATATCTGGGACATGAATGGTCGTCGTGTGCAACAAAGGGATCCTCCTGTACAGAACCTGGCCCAATTGGAAGCTGCTTTGCACGATGAATGGCTTAGACTGCTCAGAGGATCAGGAGTATCACGAGGCTGACAGGGAGTATGAGGGGGGAGATTGCTGTCTTTAACACAGTCACATTGAGGTTACACTCGGTATTGACCTTGAATCGTGTAAGACACGCAAAATGACATTTTGAATATTTACATTCACCAATAAACTGAACACTAAACGTATGAGGGCCATACTTGTACAGACATGGTTTGCATGTCAGTGGCTCTTTTAAATAAGCAATTATCATAATAAAATCAAAATGGATTCCAATAATTTTTGTCGTCTTTTATGAGTCAAAAGATCAAACGTGTCAAAAAAGCTCATGCTAGTTTTCCATCGTGGTCAGTTTTATGTACATGTTGAAAACCTATCATTGCAAAAAAACAGGGGCTGCTTAATTAAGTTCTCTGTGCATAGATACATGTAGCAGGTCTCATGTTTCGGTGGTAGATATGACGTAATTTTCAGGGCATTATCAATTACAGAAAGCAGAGGTATGTAGAATGTAGAATATACCCGATCGACGTTACCTGACGCACGTGATTTGTTTGTTTGTTTGTTGTTGTTTAACGTCGCACTCAGCAATATTACAGCTATGTTGGTCTGTAAATAATCGAGTCTGGACCAGACAATCCAGTGATCAACAGCATGAGCATCGATCTACGCAATAGGGAACCGAGGACATGTGTCAACCAAGTCAGCGAGCCTGACCACACGATCCCGTTAGTCGCCTCTTACGACAACCATGGGTTACGGAAGATCAATATTCTAACCCTGATCTTCACGGGTGACTCTGGACCAGATAATCCAGTGATCAACAGGATGAGGATTGAACTCCGCAAATGGGATACAATGACATGCATCAACCAAGTCAGCGAACCTGACAACCCGATCCCGTTAGTGACTTCTAAGGACAAGCGGGAGCTGCTGAAGACCAATCTAACCCGGATCTTCGCGGGTCTTGAGGCACACGAGTTGTCTGACTTACATTGAACATCTACAGAGACTTGTGCCGTGCCCTGTTGTTCTGATCCTCCACCTGGTGATAGAAAGTTGCTGGCAGTACAGATGTAGATCCCTCCCTGACTCCTGCTGATGTTGCTTCTATCCAGCACAGCCCCAGTACTGACAGTAGAACCACCATGGGTCCACCTGTAGGTTGTGATTGGCGGGTTGCCTGGTGTGGTGTAGGTGCTGCAGTTTATCCTGAGACGAGATGATTCATTCACTTTGTAGACGCCCTGGAGTCCAGATATGGATGGCGCATCTGTCAACGGGTTTGATTAGGAATATAATGTCTTCTGAATGACAGTAAGATATAAAATATTAAAATATAACATCGTCTTCTTCTTTTTTGATAGAAGCTATACTCACAGAGTACATCCACGTGGACCGAGGCCGAGTCTGACCCCTGGGTGTTGCTGGCAGTACAGATGTAGTTCCCTCCCTGACGCCTGCTGATGTTGCTTCTATCAAGCACAGACCCAGTACTAACAGTAGATCCACCATAGGTCCACCTGTAGGTTGAGATTGACGGGTTGCCTGGTGTGGTGTAGGTGCTGCAGTTTATCATGAGACGGGACAACTCGATCACTTGGTATGTGGACGGGAGGCCAGATATCGATGGTGCATCTGGTTTAGTGTCAGAAATGCAGTTACATTTTAAACTATACTGAAACGGTATGAAAGCCAATACAAATTACAAACTATATTAAAGAAAAATAGTTATTTCATTGTCATCACGTTGTGTTGCAATAGGAATTACCATAGGAATGCGTACATATCTGTGCTTATATGTACTTTATTATGTAAATGTAAAGATAAACACTGACTACGTTACACTTTCTGTGTACACTCACACAAAATGGTAGCATTGACGTCAGCATAACTACTTCCGGATACTCCATCCACTTCACACATGTATGTCCCAGCATGGCTGGAGTTGACGTGACTGGCAGGCAGCTGGATGTCGAGGGAGGAGGTGTAGTCACCAACAAACACGCCCTTGTTCTGCCAGGTGTCCAGGAACACAACTGTCTGACCAGTCACTGATCCACTGGCTATGTTCACTGTAGAGCTGCCCTCTCTTTTCCTCCATGAGAATGCAACAACAACATCCCCAGGTGTCACTGTGTAGCTGCACCTGAGAGTCAGAGCCTGCTGGTTGGGTATCCCTGTACCTCCTGACCCTGAGACAGTCACTGCTCCCTCAATTCCTGTGACAAAACTCCATGACATAAGTACGAAAGCCCAATTGTGCCACTTTGATAGCATAAATATTTGTCACAGACATTTGTCGTTATTCATAATATTTGCTTTACTTCTCGTTATTGCAATAATTTTCTCAAAATTTCGGGCTCTTAAAAACACTTGAAATTTCGAGAAACTAATCAAAATAACCAGCAAATAATCGAATCAATGTGAACAAAATAAATAATTGAAATAAAGATAAATTTCTTTCACAAAGTGTATTTATGCTCCCAGTCTAAGTAAACTCAGTATTATTCGTTACACTAACAAACTCTGGTAGAATGTCGCGTCAGCTAACCTTTTCAATTGACCAATTAGAGCACAGCTTACCAAATCGCGAACGTTGACATTCGCACATACCTTTGAACTTGTACCTCGAAAAAGTTTGTACTCGAACGGTTCCGATGCTATTTTCTGTACGATCGCTTCCGAGTCATGCACATGGAGCACGCCATAACAGTGAGTAAACAGTCGCTGAAAATAGCGTTTTTGTCAATATCCAAGGATGGCAGCTTGCGGAAATATTAACTAATGGTAACCATGTCATCAGAAGCCCTAAACGTATATTCTGCAGATGAAATTAATATCTGTGTTTTATGCGGATTTTCGGTCGTTGAGAGAGAGATCAGTATCAGTGACCGGGGAATTTTGTAAGCCCCGCGGAACCCTAAACAGTAGCTGTTGTTTGATTGGTTAAATCTGTTCGGCCTTCTCGCATTTCATTGGACGGTCATAGGCTGCTAAAAGGTTAGGTGACGCGACCTTCTTTTAGGGTTTGTTAGACTCAGTATAGCAGTGTAACGAATAATACTGAACCTAAGTTTTCTTAGACTTATGCTCCCGATGTTATAGCGTTAGGTTTTTTTGCATGAAGGCGAAGGAGAAGTTCCGTTTTATCAGGCTTCTTCATTCCTAACAACGGAAGTGTAAGACATCTACAAACTGACATCTCAACTCACATTTGTGGAGACCGAAACGCATTACTTTCCTCGTTGACACAAAGCTATTCAGTCATACTCTCTCAATAATCGCATTTTAGATGCGAAAGATTTGAATGAATAAGAGTGATATTTTACATTAAAGACATTTGGGAAAAATGGATAAAGGCATAATAAACATCACTATATATATAATTGAATTTCGCGCTGGATGCCCATCTGACAGGCAGCCATGTTTGTACGTAATAATATGGCCACCCACTACCCAGCTACACCTACCTGTGATTATCGCAATGAATACATGTATATGCAGTTTATATGAAGCGATTACTTCAGAGGTCATCTTCACTGTCCGCCAAGTCCGACTTTAACACTTCCCGTCCGTCAGGTCGACACAGACGTAGAGATTTCAATGTGAAAACAACCTAAAGTGTTCACAGGTGCCCGGTCTTCAGACATAAACTTCCTGGTTGGCGCCTATAAATAACGAGTCAAAGCTTGTCACAGATCCTATTACCCAGCGCATGTACTGAACAGTGCATTTAAGTGTACAAACAGACCTACCTACATACCTGTGATTGGCGGGATTTAGGGTGTTTGCAGCACATTTCGTCATTGAAAGTTTACGGCATAATGAATGAGGATATCAGTGCGTTTCTGTTATCAAAAGGCACTGAAATGTCCCCAGTTGAAAGAACAGTAGACTGTACACAAACGTGACATACTTGTCCTGAAAAGCACATGTATACATTATGGGACAATCGAGAAGATATGTTACTGTATTATTCAAACCAGTTTTCCACACTGGTCCCTGAACAACCCGGCTGACGAGAGTTAACACATGTATACAGCTCACTGTACAATGGCCAATACCGATCATTCTAAAGACCTTATTGGGGGCGGTGGGGTAGTCTAGTGGTTAAAGCGTTGGCTCGTCACGCCGAAGACCCGGGTTCGAATCCCCACATGGGTACAATGTGTGAAGCCAATTTCTGGTGTCCCCCACCGTGATGTTGCTGGAATATTGCTGAAAGCGGCGTAAAACTAAACTCAGTCAGTCAGCTAAAGACCTTATTGACTGCTATATGCAGATCAGTGTGCAGACCCCTTTACAGGTTATAGTCTCTGTACAGTCCCCGATAGTGAATACAATTGGTGAGGTGAAATGGGGTTTAACGTAGTACTTAAGAATATTTCGCTCATAAGACGACGTGCGTATGTATGTGTGGCTGCTTGTACTAGCCCACACTTAAGCTGGTTTTATAGTGCTAGCTCTCTGAGATACCATGCCGCAGTTAAGTATGAATACCCCACTCAGACACATTATACTGACTCCGAGCCGGCCAGTCCTTGATGTACCCATTAATGCCGAGCACCAATAAGTACCATATTTTAACGTCTTTTGGTATGATGCGCAAAGGGATCGAACCCGCGACCTTCAGCTCTCCGGGCGGACGCTCTAACGCACAACGGTGGCGGTCCGTGAATACAAGAACTACATATCAGAACTTATGATAGTGATCAGTACGAATTATCAGACAAAGGTCGATCCTTCACCCTGTATGTTAAAGCACTAAAGCATCCCGGCCTCACCCCAGAGGTTTAGTCTTAGCAAAGTATATATACGTTGAGCACGTATTTATGAATTCCCATCAATTAGTGACGATACCAGGTATTCGCATTTATTCCATAGGTGTAAGCATGCCACGCATTTATTCCACAGGTGTAAGTATGCCACCCATTTATTCAATAGGTGTAAGCATGCTACGCATTTATTCAATAGGTGTAAGCATGCCACGCATTTATTCCATAGCTGCAAGTATGCTACGCATTTATTCAATAGGTGTAAGCATGCTACGCATTTATTCAATAGGTGTAAGTATGCCACGCATTTATTCCGTAGCTGTAAGTATGCCACGCATTTATTCCATAGGTGTAAGTATGCCACGCATTTATTTCATAGGTGTAAGCATGCTACGCATTTATTCCATAGGTGTAACTATGCCACGCATTTATTCCATAGGTTAAGCATGCTACGCATTTATTCCATAGGTTAAGCATGCTACGCATTTATTCCATAGGTTAAGCATGCTACGCATTTATTCCTTCCATTCCTTTCTTCCTTCCATTCCTTCCTTCCTTCTTCCCCTTTCCTCCTTCCCTTCCTTCCTTCCATTCCTTCCCTTCCTTCCTTCCCTTCCATTTCCTTCCTTTCCTTCCTTCCTTCCTTCCTTCCTTCCTTTCCTTCTTCCTTCCTTCCTTCCTTCCTTCCTTCCTTCCTTCTTCCTTCCTTCTTTCCTTCCTTCCTTCCTTCCTTCCTTCCTTCCTTCCTTCCTTCCTTCCTTCCTTCCTTCCTTCCTTCCTTCCTTCCTTCTTTCCTTCCTTCCTTTCCTTCCTTCCCTTCTTCTTTCCTTTTCCTTCTTTTCTTTCTTCTTCCTTCCTTCTTTCCTTCCTTCCATTCCTTCCTTTCTGTGTGTGTGTGTGTGTGTGTTGTGTGTCTCTGTGTGTGTGTGTGTGTCTGTGTGTGTGTGTGTGTGTGTCCTGTGTCCTGTCTGTGTGTGTGTGTGTGTGTGTGTGTGTGTGTGTGTGTGTGTGTGTCTGTGTCCTGTGTGTCTGTCTGTGTGTCTGTGTCCTGTGTGTGTCAAACTAGTCAACTGTAGAAACTGGTTTATTTTACATGGGTACATATATTTATCGTGTTCACAATTATTTTACATCTGTACATGTATGTATCCACATGATACATTTCCATGGGAGTTCTCCATCTTTATTTACCTCTGCAAAGAAACAGGTAAGTGATGAGTTATTCTTCCAGACTCAGGAAACTAGCCTCTCTACTCCACTGAAACCCTTACCACGCAATATTATTATTAATAATAAGTGTAAGCATGGAAACCAGCATTCAAACAAACTAGTCAACTGTATAAATAGCACACGTGAATATCTGGTTAGTCTTCAAGTAACCCATGCTTGTCGTAAGAGGCGACTAACGGGATCGGTTGGTCAGCCTGGTTGATACATGTCATTGTTTGCCAACTGCGTAGATCGATGCTCATGATGTTGAGTGCTGGATTGTCTGGTCCCGACTGTAATATTTACAGATCGCCGACAGTGTAATATTGCTGAGTGCGGAGTTAAACAAGAAACAAACAAAACATCAATTAACCATTCATATCATCTCAGTTTATCCTGCCATTATCATTCGTTTTGGTAACAAATGCACAGGTAAGGCGTATATATACTCACAAGCGAAGAGAGAGAGAGAAGGAGGTGAGGTGAGGTGAAATTGGGTTTAACGTCGTACTTGAGAATATTTCGCTCATATGACGACGTGCATGCGTGTGTATGTGTATGTGCGGCTGTTTGTACTAGCCCAGACGAGGCTGGTTTTATAGTGCTAGCCCACTGAGATACCATGCCGCAGTGAAGCATGAATACCCCACTCAGACACATTATACTGACTCCGAGCCGATCAGTCCTTGTTGTACCCATTAATGCCGAGCGCCAGGCAGGGACCAACAAGTACCATATGTTAACGTCTTTTGGTTTGACGCGGTCGGGGATCGAACCCGCGACCTTCCGCTCTCCGGGCGGACGCTCTAACCACTACACCACGGAGGCGGTCAGAGAGAAGGAGAATGAGTAATACACGTCATAGGCAGACAGGTGGATGATGGGCAGACAAACAGACGCACAGACACATAGCGATTCTAGTTTCGTAACAGCATCAGATCAGTGTGATAAAAGCTTCAACAACATCACATTGCCATAATTCTCAGAGTATAGGTTATTCCATACTTAGGCGAACTGTCAATAATGGTGCTGAGTATAGTAGGTTACATGTAGGTGGGCGACAAGTCAATAATGACACTGTGTACAGTTACTTACATACCTAGGCGACCCTTCAGTTATGAAGCTTAGTATAGTTACTTACACGCCAGATCCACCAGGTCCAAACGCACGATGTCCACAAAGACAGTGGCCGTCGAAGCAGTGGTGATCACGGTTGGGTGGACACCCACAACTGTCGCAGTCGTCGCGAGCGGAACACGTGTCTGAAATATCAACTTCCATCTTAACATGAGCACTACATTGATGCATCGATACTTTTTCTAAGACGATACAGTTATCGATACATTCAAACCTGTATCGATGTTTGGTTTTGGAAGTATCGGTTTAAATATGTTTATGTATCGTTTACATTTTTGTTTGATGTTATGAGAGTTAAAAATGATTATTTTTCATACACAAAGATGGGAAATTAGAACTTTTTAATCTCTGAGAATAAAAAATGTTGATCTTTTCATGGACAATTATAAAATATAAATATTAATGTTCAAAATGTAACTAAATTTAGGCAATAATGCTGCGAAAATAGGTATCATGATACCTATCGAATCGTGACATGGGCATCGTGATACGTACCGATTCATGAAACTTATGTATCGTGACATCCTAACAGACGGCACACACACAGGTGTGATACCCTACGCAGGGTCATGGTTCCCTACTATTGTCCAAACCGCCAGTATCATAACAAACCACTGAAGCTTGCACAGACATTGAGGGTGGCGATATGAAATGGTGGCTTCCATATTTGTGCAAGTCTCGGTGCCTGAGTGAGTTAAATCGCTCACAGGTGCCTCTTTCTAAGTGTGCAGGTTCGAATCGAGGAAAAAAATACCAGCGCATTGAGCATGCACTGGTTGCCTGGATATGTGCGCTATATAAGTATCGTATAATAATAATAACTCAACACAAAACGTTTTGAACTTTACGTGTTGGTACAGGGGAATCTTTCCTCATTAATATGTTAACGGGTGAAATATGAGGACTGGATATTTTTTATTAACTGACATAAATTAACTGACATTAACTTTCCTAAACAATACCTTCACGGAAGAACTTTGCCGAATACAGTTATATGGACCGTTGTTTTGTTAATTGACATACCTGTAAAGCAGGTACCAGGATTGGCTCCAACCAGACAGGTGCACTGTCCATGAGAGCAGGCAAGTCTCGAGGAACTGTCACATGTCAAGTGGGTACAGTCACTATCATCCCTGCAGTCCTCGCTGTAGATCACAGCTGATGAAAAGATAGATCTTAAATAAATATTCGGGCCACAACATCATCTGTGGAGCGTGCAGCTCATATCTTTAAACAACGTTTGTGGATGGATGAGCGAGTTTGGCAGGTTTAACTCAAGTGGGTTTACAGAGCTACGATCCCATCTTGCACTGCAGCCCATGGAGAACATGAGGTGTTTTAGTATACAAGTGCTTGTATACATGCTTCTGTTGACTTAGTAGTGCCATTGTTCCCGTCAGTGGGGGTGGGTATGGGACTCCACTTCCTCAATTATAACGTGGGTATCTAATTGGGTAGCCTTCATGGTGAGGTGGTGCCCCTTAGCGTGAGGTGGACATGTGATTAGGTTCTCCTTAGTGTGAGGTGGACACGTGATTCGGCTCTCCTTAGGTTTAGGTTGGCACGTGGTTGGGTACACGTTATAGTGAGGTAGGCACGTGATTGGGTACACGTTAGGGTGAGGTGGACACGTGATTAGGCTCTCCTTAGGTTGAGGTGGGCACGTGGTTCGGTACACGTTAGGGTGAGGTGGGCACGTGATTGGGTACACGTTAGGGTGAGGTGGGCACGTGATTGGATACACGTTAGGGTGAGGTGGACATGTGATAAGGTTATCCTTAGGTTGAGGTGGGCACGTGATTACGTTCTCCTTAGGGTGAGGTGGACATGTGATTAGGTTCTCCTTAGGGTGAGGTGGACATGTGATTGGGCACACGTTAGAGTGAGGTGGACACGTGATTAGGTTCTCCTTAGTGTGAGGTGGACACGTGATTCGGCTCTCCTTAGGTTTAGGTGGGCACGTGGTTGGGTACACGTTATAGTGAGGTAGGCACGTGATTGGGTACACGTTAGGGTGAGGTGGACATGTGATTAGGTTCTCCTTAGGTTGAGGTGGGCACGTGATTACGTTCTCCTTAGGGAGTGATTGGGTACACGTTAGGGTGAGGTGGACATGTGATTAGGTTCCCCTTAGTGTGAGGTGAACATGTGATTAGGTTCCCCTTAGCTTGAGGTGGACATGTGATTGGGTACACGTTAGGGTGAGGTGGACATGTGATTAGGCTCTCCTTAGGGTGACGTGGACATGTGATTAGGTTCCCCTTAGCGTGAGGTGGACATGTGATTGGGTTCTCTTTAGGGTGAGGTGGGCACGTGATTGGATACACGTTAGGGTGAGGTGGACATGTGATTAGGCTCTCCTTAGGGTGACGTGGACATGTGATTAGGTTCCCCTTAGCGTGAGGTGGACATGTGATTGGGTTCTCTTTAGGGTGAGGTGGGCACGTGATTGGGTTCACCTTGGGATGAGGTGGACATGTGATTTGGCACACGTTAGAGTGAGGTGGACACGTGATTAGGCTCTCCTTAGGTTGAGGTGGGCACGTGGTTCGGTCAACGTTAGGGTGAGGTGGGCACGTGATTGGGTACACGTTAGGGTGAGGTGGGCACGTGATTGGGCACACGTTAGAGTGAGGTGGACACGTGATTAGGCTCTCCTTAGGTTCAGTCGGGCAAGTGGTTGGGTAAACGTTAGAGTGAGGTGGGCACGTGATTGGGTACACGTTAGGGTGAGGTTGGCTCGTGATTGGGTTCTCCTTTGGGTGAGGTGGACATGTGATTAGGTTCCCCTCAGGGTGAGGTGAACATGTGATTGGGTTCTCCATAGGGTGAGGTGGACATGTGATTAGGTTCTCCTTAGGGTGAGGTGGACATGTGATTAGGTTCCCCTTAGGGTGTGGTTGACATGTGATTGGGTTCTCCTTAGGTTGAGGTGGACATGCGATTAGGTTCCCCTTAGGGTGTGGTTGACATGTGATTGGGTTCACCTTAGGGTGAGGTGGACATGTGATTGGGTGCACCGTTAGGGTGATGTGGGCACGTGATTGGGTTCTCTTTAGGGTGAGGTGGGCACGTGATTGGATTCTCCTTAGGGTGCGGTTTACATGTGATTGGGTTCTCCTTAGGGTGATGTGGGCACGTGATTGGGTTCTCCTTAGGGTTAGGTGAGCACGTGATTGGGTTCTCCTTAGGGTGCGGTGTACATGTGATTGGGTTCTCCTTAGTGTTAGGTGGGCACGTGATTGGGTTCTCCTTGGGGTGAGGTGGGCGGGTGATTGGGTTCTCCTTCGGGTGAGGTGGGCACGTGATTGGGTTCTCCTTATGGTGAGGTTGACACGTGATTAGGTTCTCCTTACAGTGAGTTGAGCATGTGATTAGGTTCTCCTTAGGTTGAGGTGAGCACGTGGTTGGTTACCTTTTGGGTGAAGTGGGCATGTGATTGGGTTCTCCTTAGGGTGAGGTGGGCATGTGATTGGGTACACGTTAGAGTGAGGTATATTATATATGTGATTGTGAAACCGTTAGGGTGAGCCGAGTATTTGCTTGGTTCCCGTTAGGGTGAGGTGGACATGTGATTGCGATGCCCTTAGGGTTATGTGGGCATGTGATTGGGTTAAGTTAGTTAGGAAATGTGACTGGGTTCCTGATTGGACGAGATCGGTATGTGATATGGTTCCCTCACATGTAACTATATATACATGAAGATGTTATAACAACAATACATCTAGAACGACAACAACTGAAGGCAGATCAACATGCTAGTATAAACGTCATCCGGCTACAGATCGCCAATAACTGAAGGCAGATCAACATGCTAGTATCAACGTTAACCGGCTACAGATCGCCAATAACTGAAGGCACATCACCATGCTAGTACAAACGTTAACCGGCTACAGATCGCCAATAACTGAAGGCAGATCAACATGCTAGTATCAACGTAAACCAGCTAAAGATTGCCAATAACTGAAGGCAGATCACCAGGCTAGTAAAAACATTATCCGGCTACAGATCGCCAACAACTGAATGCAGATCAACATGCTAGTATAAACGTCATCCGGCTACAGATCGCCAATAACTGAAGGCAGATCAACAGGCTAGTATAAAAATTATCCGGCTACAGATCGCCAACAACTGAATGCAGATCAACATGCTAGTATAAACGTCATCCGGCTACAGATCGACAATAACTGAAGGCACATCACCAGGCGAGTATAAACGTTAACCGGCTACAGATCGACAATAACTGAAGGCAGATCACCAGGCGAGTATAAACGTTAACCGGCTACAGATCGCCATTATCTGAATGCACAACAACATGCTTGTATAAACGTTAACCGGCTACAGATCGCCAATAAATGAAGGCAAATCTCCAGGCTAGTATAAACGTAAACCGGATACAGATTGCCAATAACTGAAGGCAGATCACCAGGCAAGTATAAACATTATCCGGCTACAGTAACTGAAGGCAGATCAACATGCTAGTATAAAAGTTATCCTGCTACAGATCGACAATAACTGAAGGCAGATCAACATGCTAGTATAAAAGTTATCCGGCTACAGATCGCCAATAACTGAAGGCAGATCACCATCCTAGTATAAACGTTAACCGGCTACAGATCGCCAATAACTGAAGGCAGGCTAGTTTCGATCGGAACGTATTGTACTTTTCCTTCCTGCATGAACCCTAACTGGATTTACATCATTCCCTGGTTATAATTGACGAGTTTAGCCAAAACTGAAGAATATACTACGCTTAAAACTATGGCATTCAAAGCAATACGTCGAATGATCATGTAAAAAGAGCAATACAAATAAACACTTGTCATAATTGTATATTTTTTAATATATAATCTCAGCTAATGTACACGTTATGTAACTCATGAATGTAGTTATAATTTCTACTCACCAAAAAGAGTGCACACAAAGACGAGAAACAGTGTAACTTTCATGTCTGAGGGTTGAGGAAATACTTTCAGAGTAATGTCTTCATACGGTTGATCCTCTTATATACTTCTTTTGCCCGTGATACCAACACCAATCCCGTGAGCCACAGTCACGATTTTGTGATTCTATGTACAGCAGCTGCATGCAAGACTTGTCTTCCCGTGGGTGATTATGTCATGGCATGTAGATAAAGGTATAGGCAGCACACGGGTTACGTAGCTCTAATGTGTCATTTGTCGGGATCTGATGACCTATATGTCACATATGTTGTTAAATGAAAAAATAACAAAAATACCACGATTTGATTCAAATATTATCACAAAAACATCTCAGTAGAAACAACATAAAGAAATTCACTCGCAGGCATAATTAGAGTGAAACTTTGACCAACCGAAAACGGAGACGTCGGGAAAACGGACCTTCGACTTTGAAATCAGTGGTAAACGTGAGAGGGGGTTATTGTTGCAAACGCAAATTACACTTCGCCATAGTAATTTACTTCAATACAGATGCCTACAAAACTTGCAATGTCTCCTTGCCATGTACAGCTAATGTGAAAGTCAGTGTCCAGATGAGTTCAATAACGTTTATCAGAGTCTGGATCACATTCTGTATCGTAATTTCCAAAGCAAGATGTTTTTACATATGTTTTCGCCTCTGAGTGGCAAGACAATATGCAATGCAATCTGTTAGGCAATGGAAAGGGTCTATGTCACCCATCTATGTCAACCATCTATGACAACCATCTATGACAACCATCTATGTCAACCATCTATGACAACCATCTATGTCAACCATTTATGTCAACCATCTATGTCAACCATCTATGTCAACCATCTATGACAACCATCTTTGTCAACCATCTATGTCAACCATCTATGACAACCATCTATGTCAACCATCTATGTCAACCATCTATGTCAACCATCTATATGACAACCATCAATGTCAACCATCTATGACAACCATCTATGTCAACCATCTATGTCAACCATCTATGACAAACATCTATGTCAACCATCTATGACAACCATCTATGTCAACCATCTATGACAACCATCTATGTCAAACCATCTATGACAACCATCTATGTATGTCAACCATCTATGTCAACCATCTATGTCAACCATCTATGACAACCATCTATGTCAACCATCTATGTCAACCATCTATGACAACCATCTATGTCAACGTCAACCATCTATGTCAACCATCTATGACAACCATCTATGACAACCATCTATGTCAACCATCTATGACAACCATCTATGTCAACCATCTATGTCAACCATCTATATGACAACCATCAATGTCAACCATCTATGACAACCATCTATGTCAACCATCTATGTCAACCATCTATGACAAACATCAATGTCAACCATCTATGACAACCATCTATGTCAACCATCTATGACAACCATCTATGTCAACCATCTATGACAACCATCTATGTCAACCATCTATGATAACCATCTATGTCAACCATCTATGTCAACCATCTATGTCAACCATCTATGACAACCATCTATGTCAACCATCTATGTCAACCATCTATGACAACCATCTATGTCAACGTCAACCATCTATGTCAACCATCTATGACAACCATCTATGACAACCATCTATGTCAACCATCTATGACAACATCTATGTCAACCATCTATGTCAACCATCTATGTCAACCATCTATGACAACCATCTATATGACAACCATCTATGTCAACCATCTATGACAACCATCTATGTCAACCATCTATGACAACCATCTATGACAACCATCTATGTCAACCATCTATGTCAACCATCTATGACAACCATCTATGTCAACCATCTATGTCAACCATCTATGACAACCATCTATGTCAACGTCAACCATCTATGTCAACCATCTATGACAACCATCTATGTCAACCATTTATGTCAACCATCTATGACCACCATTTATGTCAACCATCTATGTCAACCATCTATGTCAACCATCTATGACAACCATCTATGACAACCATCTATATGACAACCATCTATGTCAACCATCTATGACAACCATCTATGTCAACCATCTATGACAACCATCTATGACAACCATCTATGTCAACCATCTATGTCAACCATCTATGACAACCATCTATGACAACCATCTATGTCAACCATCTATGTCAACCATCTATGACAACCATCTATGTCAACCATCTATGTCAACCATCTATGTCAACCATCTATGTCAACCATCTATGTCAACCATCTATGTCAACCATCTATGTCAACCATCTATGACAACCATCTATGTCAACCATCTATGACAACCATCTATGTCAACCATCTGTCAACCATCTATGTCAACCATCTATGACAACCATCTATGTCAACCATCTATGACAACCATCTATGACAACCATCTATGTCAACCATCTATGACAACCATCTATGTCAACCATCTATGTCAACCATCTATGTCAACCATCTATGACAAACAATGTCAATCAGGCCTTAGTGCCAGGTATGAGACACTTAGTAGGGCAGGTGCAACAACTTTCTGTTGATACGTTATCTCCATGTGGCGGCCTTGTAGATACACTGGGTGTATCACATGTACGAACACTGATTGAAAGTCCTTCGATTTGAGTGAATTCGTCTTGCTGTTCCCTGTGACTGATGAGGCTTTACGATGATAGAGGTAAAAATAACTGGACCCCTGGTGTCAGAAAGATACTTAAGTATCTGGAGAGAACAAAATGTAACAGCACCAGAGCATGTTATATATGATTTAACTCAAAGGCTAAAAGATATGTATTTTAAAAGTGGTACTCTTCACAATGTTTACACAATAAGTTAAATCATTACTCCTGTTTTAAATCATTCATTCTTACTGAAAAATATATTTAGACATTAATGTTAAGAAATTCCGAAAAGGGGAAAAGGGTAGACATTTAGGGATACCACGGGAATACCGATTGTGTAAATATTTTACTTGTGAGGAGGTAGAAGATGAATACCATTTCTTGCTTGGTTGTCATTGCATGTGAATACCAGAAAAGAATACATAAAGAAATATTTCTATTTGAACCCCCGAATAGACAAATGCTATACCCTCATGTCATCCCAAAATCAAACAGTCACAAAGTACATTGAAATGTACATGTATATATACAGTACAACCACAAATTATTGAGAATTTAAAGATTGTTATCTCTTTTTTCTTTTTTTCGCTCATTACTCACGTATTAAATGTGAATATTAGCAGAACATAACTCCAGATTCAAAGACAGGTGAACAGTTAGTATTTTGTCAAGTCACCATGAGCAGCAATGCAGGCTTCAATGCGGCGGGGCACATTACTGATCAAAGAAGTTAGAAAGTCGTGGTCCATGCTGTCCCAATATCGGACCACCTCTTCGTTCGTTTCAGCAATATTTGTCAGATTTTTCTTATTGACACTTTCCTTCATAAGTCCCCAAACATTTTCTATTGGATTTAGGTCAGGGCTATAGCTTGGCCAATCTAATAATGTCATATTTTGGGTCCGAAACCAAGCCGGTGAATGCTTTGAACGATGTTTTTGGTCGTTGTCCTGCTGGAAAATCCAAACATTTCCATAGAACACGTGAGCAGATGGAAGTAAATGTCCCTCGAGAATACCTGTGTACCGCTCACTGTTCATATTCCCTTCAAATACACAGAGGGGCGTTGCCCCTAACACAGATATGCGAACTGTACTTTGGGCGCTGATACAAAGGTTTTTCAGTATGTTTGGTCCAGAATTTCAGTGTATTAGGAAGCAGCCACACAGTACTTTCATCTGGGAAAATCACATTGTCCCAGTTAAAATTTCTATGCTGTAAGCACCAGTTCAACCTTCGCTCCTTTTGTTCAGGTTTCATGATCGGTGATGGAGTTCCTCAACTTTTCTGCCAACCCATTGCATGCAGCTCAGTTCTAATTGTCTCCTTACAGACAGCCACAGTTCCTCCATCAATCACATCCAGCCTTAAGTTTTTTTAACTCCTTCGTTTGTTTTTAGAAACAAGAATACCAAGCCGCCTCCTGTCACCGACAGTCAGTATTCTGGGCCTACCTGCGCCTCCCTGGTGCTCAATGCCATATCCATTTGCAATACTTTTTCAAAATACGATAAACAGTGGACAAAGGGATGCCTGTTCTGCTTGAAATCACTTTAGCTGATCTGATGTCCTTGTTATAATACTCTAAAATCAACTTCCTCTTCTCTAAATCATCCATACTGAGGATCACTGAAAATGTCGTCTGCTAGCAAGTAAACAAAGGGGGATAACTCTTTACAAACTAATGAAAAAGGATTAACGGAGTTTTCTCTCTTAAATGAAACCAAGCACTTGATAGCTGGTCAAGGTTGTTTATACTAGAAATCCAATTAAACATATTCCTAAAATTCTCAATAATTTCTGGTCATACTATTGTGGCAGGAACAAACTTTGTATGTCTGAGTGTTAGGATTAGTTTGCGCCCGTTAGCTTTAAAGTATTGTAAATAATCATTAATTCTCTGTCTTTATTTCAGCATCCAGTAGGCGCTGATATATGCAATGTACATATGTATTTTAATATATTGCTTTGTTTCAACTCACTACAGTGACTGAAATGAAATAGTTAACAATGCATGTATTTTAAATAAGTTTCTTGATTTCAGCTTAGTTTTAGTAACACAACCAATAGTGTCTACCCAACCGTGACAACACGTTACGATTGGTCCATTCAAACCTGCATGCTTTTTCTATGCCTGAACACCTCGCACCCTGACACAACTGACAAAACTTGTGTGAGAGACAGACAAGCATAGGCGTCAACTTAATTTTCATCAGCACACATTATTCCATCGTCTGCTATGGCGGCCAGGCATAAACACGGGCCCCTGTGCCATACACAGGGGTTTATCGTGTATGTTGAAATCTACATCCACTTGGAATAAACAGAACTTACAACCCTGCATTCACTTTGCGTGTCGTCATTGTGACCCTGCTACAAAATGGAGCCCCCAGTGATTTGTGGACTTGAAAAAGTTTCAGCGATGGACACTGCCTCTGCCTAGCGAGATACAACACCCCCGGGTCTACGATCGTCACGTGATGTCTTCACACACACC